GCCCTTTGGGTTGCTCCATAGGAAGGCAGGAGGGAGGGTAGAGTAACCTCCAGGCCCTTCGGAGTCACGGTGGTCTCAGTCTGGGAACCTGGGCCTGGCCTTCCTGGAAGAGTAAGTGTGGAGGGGAGCTGGCTGCTGGGGAAGTGGAAGAGCAGACAGATCATCTCAGGAAAGCACCGGCCACAGAGTGTGGAGTCGTTTCAGGGAGAAGGGAGCGCTCAGGAGACTGCAGGGGCTCCAGGAGTGGCTGCAGTTTGGGGAAGATGTTGGCACAATGTGTTGTGTATGTTTTATCCTTGGAACTTAAGACTTCTTAAAGAGCAGAGGCAGGCCTGCCTGGCAAGCACAAGGTCCTGAGTTTGTTTCCCAGTACCACCCTCCCCCCCAAAAAGAGTGAAGGCGTACTCCAATCTGCAGAATGGGAGACGGAACGAACAGAGGTTCCAAGGGGCAGCACATCATGCCTTGCAGTTGGTTCATCGTGTTTCCTCCTGGTCCTCCATTACTGCACCCTCCTTCCTCAGGCCCTCTTCTCACCGTCCTGGACTCTGTTGTACCGAGGGTCCCTGGCTGCTGCCCACTGTCATACGAACACCCCTCCCATGGTCCTGACACTCCGGCCCCACCCACAGCACCATGACATCAGTGAGGACCCCGGGCCCCTCAGCTGGCCAGACCTACACCATCCCTCTCATCCAGCCAGACCTGCGCTGGGAGGACGCCATCCAGCAGGTCACCGATGCCCTGCAGTACCTGAATGAGGTCTCAGGAGACATCTTCAGCAGGTGGGTGCTGCCCTTCCCAGCGGAGGGAGGGCCACCCTGTCCTGGGATTCCTCTCCAAGCCCAGCCCCTTTAATGACTCCCAGACCTGGGGCCCCAGATGGCTCCTGTGTGGGAGCAGCTCCGGGTCTGCAAGCTTCCCTCACAAGTGCCCGAGGTCATTTCCAACTGCCTAGCATAGCCCAGGGATTCCATAACCCCAGTCCTGTGACTCCCATCACCCCAGTCCTGGCTCTGCTCTTTCCCAAGGGAAGGAAAGGCTATTCTTGCAGTTCCGCCTGCAACCAGCAGAGGGAGCCCCCAGGCGGCTGTCCGAGGAGGCTGCCAGGACCGTCACACGGGTGTCTGCAGAGGCTGGGTCCCGAGTCCGTCCGTGTGAGTCTGGCCTGGGGGGACGGCAGGGTCCCGTGCTGTAGGGTGTAAAGCGAGAGGCGCAGGGCCCCCCAGACCCGCGCCCCACTCTCGCCAAGTCGGTCAGGTGCTGGCAGTGGGTGCAGCCCTGCTCCCCACGGGTTTCCTCCTCCGACAGAGCCCAGGTTCCCACCCACCCTACGCGGGCCCATGGGGCGGGTGCGGATGGCTCCGCCATAGCCACAGATGATCACGGTGGGCCCCAAGAAACAGCCCTGTGAAGTGAGGACCTCTCCTATAGGACTGTCACAGGGGGTCCCTGGAACAGCGACAGGGAGCCCTGGGGGCTGAGGGAGCCGGACCCAGAGCCCATAGAGGGCGCCTGCTCCTCTGCAGGCTGCCGGGCTGGAATGGCTTGGTGCAGCCCCTGCTGCGACCTTTGCATGGCAGGATCTCCCAGCGTGTGGAGCTGAGCCACAGGCAGCTGCGGGTGCTTGGGGAGCGTATCTCCACGAGCCAGGCCAAGATTGAGAAGCTCAAGCTGAGCAAGAAGGCTATCAAGGTGGGGACCACACGCCCATCGGCCCTGCCCCCCACCCCCACCCCCGCCATGCCCCTCAACTCCCCAGCCCTCGGTCCCTGCCCAGCGCCAAGTTCCCGGGGCCCCGAGCGCCTGCAGGACTATAGCTCTGTCTTCTCAGGCGCATAGGACCCGGGCCTCCAGCCATGGCCGAGCCACTGCATCCAGAACAAGCACCGGCCACTGGACAAGCAGGCCCTGCAGGTCTGAGGCCACAGCCAGGCCAGGGTGCAGGCACCGGGTCCACATGGGCTACTGATACCCAAGGGTTCAGGCTGGGACAGAACGGGGTGCTGAGCCCCCCACATCCCTGTCATCCCTAGGAAAAGCTGAAGTTCTTCCCTCTGTGTGAACACAAAGCCAGAGCCCAAGGATGAGACGGAGGAAGGGCTCGGTGGGCTCCCCAGCAACATCAGCTCCATCAGCTCCCTGCTGCTGTTCAACACCAGGGAGAACCTGTAAGGGCACGTGGGGGGGGGGGACCTGAGGGGGTTGGGGGCAGAGAAGTGCACTAAGTTGGGTGCAAGGTGGGTGTGAGAGCTGGGGAGTCCTAGGCACCAAAGAGTGGGCTGTACCCTAAAGCAGGAAGCCTGACTAAACCCACTCACCCTGCAGGTACAAGTACGTTTTCCTGGACCCACTGTTGGAGGCGGTCACTAAGACCCATGTGATGCTGGAGAAGGAGAAGCTGTTAGATGCCCCTCTGCATCAGCAAGAGAGAGCAGCTCAAGCGGCAGGTGGGGGGTGCTAGAGGCCAGGGTCCTGGGAGGTCTGAGTTGTCCCGGGGTATAGAGGGCTCTGTGGGGCCCACAGTGACCCTGCAGACCATGTACTTATGTTGTAGCCACAGTGCATGCGCTCCCCCACAGGTCCCTGAGAACTACTTCTACGTGCCAGACCTGGGCCAGGTGCCCGTGATCGACATGCCATCCTACCTGCCTGACCTGCCTGGTGTTGCCAATGACCTCATGTACAGTGCCGACCTGGGCCCAGCCATTGCCCCCTCTGCCATCCCAGAGCTGCCTGCCTTCTAGACAGAGGTGGACACACCTTTCAAGGCCTGTGAGCTGGGTTCTAGGCAGTAGACCGGGCTGGGAGCTCCCTTGACTCAGCCTGCTTCCTGGGTGTTCAGCCTTGAGCCTGTGTTCCAGACCTAGAGGGCCGGGTGCTCATAGCAACCCCCCCCCCCACTTCCACCTCCACCAGCTCCTGCAGTGCTGGCTAGAGCACCTCCAGGCCTACCCCTGCAGACTGCAGGGGTAGCAGCAGCGCCCCTGCTTCAGGTAGGGGCCAGTGCTGGGCATCCCAAGGGGAAGCAGCTGCACGTCTGAGGTTCATAGTACAGTTTCCTCCTCACATGGCCTAGCCTTTTGGGCCCACCCTGCTCTCAGGACTGCAGAGCTCGGGGACTTGGATCCCAGGGGAGGGGGAGGGGAGCCCAAAGTTGGGGCCATGGCCTCACTCCCAGCTGAATCAGTGGAAACAAGGTCGACTGCAAGGGGAGACTTGAGAACTTGGGTTTTAATATTGCACCTCCTGGGGCTGGGGATATAGCTCAGCGGCATAAGCACCTGCCTTGCAAGCAGGCAGTCGTGAGTTTGATCCCTGGTACCGATAAAAACGAAAAAGAAAAAAGAAAAAAAAATATTGCACCTCCGAGCCCCTGTGCAGCTTCCAGAAGGGGCACAGAAGTCTCCGCTGGCCCACAGGTCCCTGGAGGTTCTGTGGGTGCATCAGTGAGTCCCAGGTCTACTGCTGCAGGGCAGCACCCAATCAGGGTGGGAAATGGGGGGACGCAGGTGTCTGACACCAGGCACTAACTCGGCATGGGCCTGGAAGGCCACTCCTCACACCTCCGCCCTGTCAGCACCTGTCCAGGTGGCTCCCAAGGAGGTGGTGGACCCCTCCAGTGGCCGGGCCACCTTGCTGGAGTCCATCCGCCAAGCTGGGGGCATCGGCAAGGCCAAGCTGCGCAGCGTCAAGGAGCGCAAGTTGGAGAAGAAGCAGCAGAAGGAGCAGGAGCAAGGAGAGGCCCCACTCCCCCTGCAGCCAGGACACCCGGTGGAGGCCTGTCAGGGCCCCAAGGCTGTCCCTCTGCAGGCGGGGTGCTCTTGGAGGCCTGGCTGGCCCCGACACCCTTGTCCTGAGCTTCGGCTTGGGGCTGTGTGCTTGAACCTGCCAGCTCAGGCCGCACCAGAGGGTCCTCCCACCTCCTGGGCTTCCAAGGAGTCTCAGTGCTCTTATGGGACTCAGGCGAGCCCAGGCCTAAGTCTCTAAGCCTCGCGGGGACTACTACTGTCATGGACAGGGGAGTGAGCCCAGAGCCTGTGGCCCTGAAGGGGTCCCCTCCTCTGTCCTGCACTTCTGTACCCATGCTTCCCCCACAGTGAGAGCCACGGAACAGGGCAGGGACCTGATGTCAGATCTCTTTAACAAACTGGTCCTGAGGCGCAAAGGTAGGCAAGTGCCTGGGGTGCTTTGCCTGTCCCCTTATCCAGGAGCGGGGTGCACCTGAGCCCTGGCCTGGCCTGGCCTCCCTCCCTCACGAGACCTTCCCTCCTAGGCATCACTGGGAAAGGCCCCAGGCCAAGGGCCAATGAAGGCGCAAAGGAGCCTTTGCCAGCATGTGGTACTCCATCCCGCTGCTGCCGCCCCCACAGCAGCCCCTGGGACTGGGAGTCCTAGGGCTCGGACCCCTTGATCTCCTGCAGCCCAACTTCGCCCGTTCTTGCAAGCATCCCAGTATGGTGGGTCCAGGGCCCTGTGGCTTCCCCATGGCACAGCGTTGTCCTCTCTAAGAGGAGGAAACGTGCCAGGAACCAATAAAGCGGGGCAGGAGAAGCTGCACAAGCCAGGAGTGCGTGATGTATTGGGAAGGGCGGCTGGGCGGGATGCAGAAGTCTCCTGGAGCCTGGCCTGCCCCCTCCCAGTGGGTTCAGAGGCTCAGGACCAAGGCCCCTTTCTCTGGATTGGGGTGAAAGGAGGGAAGCCAAGAGCAGGAATGATTGCGGGGGAGGGGAAGGCACCTTTCCATGGCATGTCTGGGCAGGGTGGACCTCAACATAGGAAAGTGGGTGCTTAGGGCAGTGGGGACTGCTCTTGTCCCAGGCAGAGAGTGAGCTGCCCTGGGCCGGGCCCCAGTGTGGCAGGGCCCACTGTTCCATCCACTCCTGCTGGCTTCACTGTGCAACCCTGATCCTGGCAGCTTCTGGCTCAGGGTGAGGGCTGGTGGGGACACCAAAGGCTGCACACAGCAGGGACCAGGGCAGGCAGGGATGAGGCTGCCATCAGGAGGGCCCCGCCTTCTCCAGTGAAACTGCAGGCACAGGGAAAGAGCAGCCAACTCTCAGACTGGGGTACTGGGAGCCGAGGAAGGAGAGGGCCGGCCTGACCTTCCGCAGTGCAGGGAACGCAGCACCAAAGGTGGCTTTGACCTCCACACGGTCTCGGATCCAGGTTGGCAGCTTTTCCAGCACTGGGGGCCCCGTGTAGCGCTGGTCCAGGAGCATGATGTTGGTGAAGTCCCTCTGGTGTCGGATAGCCTTGCCTGGGGCCAGAGGCAGGGCTCTGAGTGACATCTGCCCTCCCTACAGCACACATCCCAGGTCCCCTCCTATAAGGAAGGTCTCTCCTCTTGTCACCCCTCCCCAATACCCATCTAGCCCTGGCTGTTCGTCCCAGGGCCAGGGCAGCCGCAGCTCACTGATGGACTGGTTGACAGCCTTCATGCACAGGTTCTCCAGCAGTGCCTTCTCCACGGGCACCTGCCCTGGGCTCCTGGGCTGCAATGGTAAAGGAGACATAAGTGTCTGTCACCTGCCTGATGACCCTCCTGACCCAGAAGGTGTGACGGAACTGCTGCAGACGCCAAGAAGGCAAGGGCGCATCCATGCACCGCTGATGTAGACAGGCAGCATTCACACAGGGATCACAGTGCAGAGCCTGGCATCCCAGCCCGAGGGGTCACCCCACTCTCCATCCCCAGCCCTCCGACCCTCTGGAACCCGGCAGACTCACAAGGTGCTGATCCAAGTAGGCCATCTTCTCCTGCAGCTTGGGAGACCGGATGTTGGGGTAGAGCATGCCCACCATTACCATACACCTGGGGGACATGGAGGTGTGTCTTGGCCTACCCTCTGCCCGTTGGATCCAGCCTGGACCAATGAATGAGGTCTCCAAGGCCTCAGCCTGGCTTCCTGTTCCATAGTCAGCCCGCCACTCCCTGCCACCCCCTCAACATCCTGAGCATCCTGCCTGCGTACAGACCCTGAAGTGTGAGATCGAGGCAGGTGCAGGGACCCAGGAGGGAAGAGGGGTGCACCTACTGGCCCAGGCCGTCTGTGAAGTTGATCCCTTCACTCATCTTCCCTCCCACCACAGAGAGGCGCAGGGCCCCAGTCACTGGGCCTCCTGCCTGTCCACACCTCTGTGGAAAGACCCCATGCAGAGCACTGGGCTGGGGCCAGAAAGACACCAGGCCTGCGTGGCCCCCGTGCCTGGCCTGCCCCCCTCACCTTAATGCATTTGGAATACTCAGCCAGGACCTGCTCCACTTGGCTGGCTCTCTTTGGCTCCTGGAAGAGCTGCAGGGAGAGACAGACTCCCAGGGAAAGGCTGAGGAATGTAGGAGCTCACACTGACTCAAGGGTTTGGTCTGCACTCTAGGGACAGGCCACCTTCAAAGCACTCAGCTTTGGGGATCCCTTGGGCCAGGATGCAGAGACCCTGGAAGGGGTACAGGCGAGGGACCAGGACAAGCAGCACCATTGGGTTCAGGGATCCCCAGGTTCTGCCACCCTGGAAACACTGCTGGGTAACGGGTCTCTCACCTTTTTCCTGACAGTCAGGCGGGCCAGCAGACCACTCTTGTCCCAGTGGGCAAGGACCTGGCGCTGGTACTCATAGGAAGGGAAGAAGTAGACCAGCCGCCCAGGGACCACGTTGCACAGGTTGCAGAGAATGCGTCCTGTCTCCACCATCTAGGAGGCAGAGAGGCCCTGAGGAGCAGCACCCAGGACACCACAGCTGGGCTCCAGGCCAAGGTCGGAGCTCAACCCAGAGCATGAGCGGGCCCAGGAGCATGACAGCCACCTAGCCTCTGAGTGGCACGGGAAGGCACATGTGCCAGCCTCTTGCCAAACACACCTGTCTTTGTGACCCAGGTCCCAGTGCCAACACCTAAGAGATGACAGCCACCGAGTCCCCCAGGATCCCAGCATCCTGACCGCCAGCATTGAGGACAAAAGAGGTTCCTGTCTCCGGGCAGCAGTGGAGATGTGTCCCTAGCCCTGTGCCCACCTGAGGTGGTGCTGACATTACCAAGGGAACCAGAGCAGTGAGCAGCCCCTCACCCTCTGGTCCTCAAGGGGCACCTGGAGGGCTGAAGGAAACTCACTTAAAGGTCCAGGGGCGGGGGTAGCTCACACCTTCCTGACAAGTATCCAGAGACTCCACTCTTTGGTAGGCCAGCTGGAAAGGGAGCCCTGATACTGATTTTCCAAATGCCAGGACCAGCCAGGTGACCCAGAGCTATGTGCAGCATGAGGGCTAGGGGCACTGAGCATGGCACCCACCATTGCAGGCAGCTCTCTCTGCTGGAAGGTGAACTCCAGCTGCTGGCCGGTGGGCCCACTGCAGAGGACCAGGGGCAGGATGTTGTCTGGTGGGATAACGTGACCTAGTGAGAAAGGGAGGGGTTGGAAACTGCTCCGCAGGCAGGCGGGGTCCAGGGAGAGTGGTCCCCACCCATCTCTACACAGGAAGGGGTCTTTAGACCTCACTGAGGGTCCCTGGGCGATGCAGATCGCAGGTCACAGAGCATGAAAGCAGGAAGGGAGCAGGTGACAAGCTGCCCTGTGGTGTCCCCACCCAGGGCCTGGCCAGTGGCAAAACCCAGTGAGCAGAGGTCATGGCATAGGGTCTGCTCACCACAGCAAAACTCTACAACGTGCTCTGATTGCGTCCCAGCCCAGGCCAGCAGCTGCTCCCGGAAGTCAGACACCTGCAGGCAGGGTTTGAGGTGTGTGATATCCTGAGGGCTAGGTAAAGGGACCTTGGTAATGGAGGGCAGAGAGGATCGGCAGAGAAAACAGAGGGAGAAGTCTGGACTGGGTGGCCAATGGGACACTGCATAGGAAATAAGCCCAGAAAGACTGATGCAGAATTATCCAAAAGAAAACAACCATTAATGACCTGCTGGCAGCCTCCTCAGAGGACCGAGGGAACACAAAAGAAAGTTGGCTGATTTGGCACAGGGGGTCTCAAGCCTGGCTTAGGGTCGAAATCATCACAGGAAAGTCTTTAGATCATACAGTTCCCACCTGTCCCTAAAGCTGAACCACTGATGAGGAACTGAGCTCGCAGACATTGCCTGGGTGAGGGGGATACACAGTGGTCATGACCCCAGGGAGGGAAATGTCACTGTTAGCAAGTGACAAGCAGTTTCACTTTTCTAGACCTAGCAGTTACCTAGGAGTCTAAGCTTCGCACAGCTGACAGATGCAGCTTAGCCAGGCAGCTTTTCTTCCTCAGGGTGCCGTCTGCACAGTGAGATGGACCCGGGGAGGGAGGGAAGCTGCCTGCTGCCTGAGCAGCACCACCTCTACCCGGCACAGCACCCGGGGCCCCTACAGCCTACAGACCTCGCCCTCACCGTGCCACTGGCCAGCTGCCACCTGCACACTCCAGAAACCAAGATGCTACCACCTCTACGGGACATAGGACAAAGCAGGCAGGCATTTATTTTAGCAAAAAAAAAAAAAAAAAAAAAAAATCTCTCAAACCAAATACTAGGCAGCTCCACCCAGCAAAACCAGCAGAAAGCTGCAGCCTCAGCTGAGGAAAAGGATTCCCCACGGGGCGGGACGAGTAGGCTGGGGGACAGGGTGAGAGTCGTCAGCTGTATTTTTATTAATAGAGTTTTAACTTTTGAACTGCATGAGTGTTACATGTTTTAAAAACAAAAATTAGGTCAAAAGGGAAAAAAGCAAGCTCTAACCACACTGAAACCAAAAAGTTCCCGCTGACTGGTTCCACTACCCAGAGAAGCACTGGGAGAAACATCTGATTTCAGACAGCAATGCACCCTGCCAGGGCAGAGCTGGCAGGCACAGCAGCGCCCCTTCCCTGGGCAGGTTTCCTGTTGGGGCAGGGATGCGATTCTCAGGCTGTTTAAGGATACTGAGAGATTAAATAGTTACGTTACGCTACCAAGAAACTACACATTCATTCAGCAACCAAATACCAGCTATGTTTATGGCTGTCATCTTCACTGAACACACATTCATCTACTCCCCCGTGCTCTGCCTGCCCCAAGGGATCTAAATGTAAGATCCAGGAAGTTAAGTTTTTGTTTTGATTCGAAAATATCGATATACACTGTTGCTTTTCAAAATGCATCTCCTCGGTGTCCCTGAGACACAGCCTAGGCACTGTGACAACTGGGAGCAGCTGGGTCACCCTGGCACCAAGTGCCAGGTGCTGCCCTCCACTGATGCATCTCTCTTCTCTGTGTGAAAATGAGGCAGCCAGGCCCGGGGTCTGGTCCACAGGACAAGAGTGGGTGGGCAAGGGCTCCCTATGCTGATTCAGAGACCATGTGATCATCAAAGAGAACTCTAAGGCAAAGAATGAATAAAAATCTAGAAATCTGGGCAATAAAAAATAAATAGAGCATGACAGTGGCTGCAGCAGGCACAGAGGCTGGGGAGGGCTCAGGACTCCAGCAGCCCGGGACAGCATGTGTCTGCCAGATATGTGGCTGTGGACAGAACTCCTGGGCAGAGACCTGGCTGCACTTCCCACAGAAGTACTGTTCAGAGCAGAGAAATGCCAGAGTGGTCCAAGAAATGCACCGAATCCATGGGATTGGAAGACAGCAAGCGGGGAGCCCATACTTGTGTCTGGATGTTCCTCCAAAGGTGGTTGGGTCTAGAGTGTGTGAATGATCCACAGTGCAATCCTTGAACTGAGGGTGGGTGATCATAAAGTCAGTCCACTGATTGGCTCAGCAACATCCTAATCCCAGCAGCCAGGATACAGCACAAGGCACAGAAAGAGGCTGTCTTCTCCCTGCTCCGCTTGTTTCTGCTGTCTTTTGCTTGCTGTGAACGGCTTCTCTTCTGGCTTGCTACTCTGCCTTGGACCCAGCCTCTACAAACTGTGCCTTGGGCTGAAACCTCTACAAACTGGGAGCCAAGGAAACCTCTCTGCTTTTTAACTCTGGGAATTGTGTCTCAGCTATAAGCAAAAAGTAACTGAGACAGGGGAGTAAATGTATCCCTGCTGACCAGGAAAGATATGCGTGCTACTGGATTCTGAGTGCAAAAGTGAACCATAACAGCACATACAGGTGATTCTGTTGTTTTTAAGATGCATACACACCTGTGAACCTTAACCCCAGAAAGGCCACTGCCGTGCCGCACGCCATGGTCCATCTCTGAGTGTGAAATGAGGACCTGCTTCTCCCCCACTGCTCCTCTCTGCTTTCTATGGTGAAACCCAAAACACCTACATTACACCAGCCTCAGAAGGTGGGCACCTCCCTGGTGGGGCAGGAAGGGACCTCAGGGCGGCACCAAGGATCTGAGACACACAAAGGCTTTGTGAGGTCTCAGTAGTGCCACCCAGGGGATACTGCTGGGCCTGCACATCACTTTTGGGTTGGGGACCAGCTGGACAGGGAGGACACCTGACTGAGGCTGCTTCCTTCCCCTGGACCATCCCAGCACCAGGGACACAGGAGATGGGGGCTGGGGTCCTTACCGGCTGCATGGTGCCCCCTGCAATGACCACTGCCCGGCATTCTTCCATCACCTGGGCAAACTGCATGGCTGGATTTAGGAGCAAGAATTTGAGGCTGTTCTGGCTGAGGCTGCCTGAAAGGGGGACAGACAGAGGGGCGGGCCCAGCCTGAGCACAGGGCTCCCGGGTGCCCTGCAGGTCACACATGGGCCTGCACGGAACAGGGAGTCCAGCCTTGCTTTCCCTCCAGGACAAGTGCCAAGGCAGACAGCACAGCCGTCACACACGCGCACACACACTGAGGCAAAGCATAGCCAAGTGCAAAGGGAGAAGTCAATCCAGCTTACACAGCCGGAAGATGACTTCTTGCCCTTAGGACCGCTGCCTGCCCCGACCACTGCTAAGCCGGGTAAGGCTGGGATGTGCCCAGAGCCCCCGGCACAGCTCCCTGCTGCAGCCCGGCCCTCTCTCAGGAAGCAGCCCAGCCAGGCTGCTCGGTACCTTGGCGGCTCAGGATGACTCTGCCATCCTGGTTGGCAGTGGTGAAGGCTGCAAGGAAGCCTTCATGTGCATCAGTGGGGAAGCAGCGCACATGACCTTAACCTCAGCCTCCTCTGGCGGCGGTGGGAGCTGCATGGGCGGAGGGAGGACAGAGGACGGGACCCGAGTGAGGTCAGGTCCAGTGCTATCCAGGCCTGCAGCCCAGCTCGTCTTCCTGCCCTGAGACTCATTTTTGGTCACCCCTGGCTGCAGGCTCTATAGGAATTGCTGGAGCCCTGCCAGTCTGGACTGCTCCCAGGACAGTGGGAGGATGGTACCATAGGGTTCCATGAAGCCACAGAGCTGGAGGAGGAGAGAGGGTGGTGGTGTAACACAGGGACTCCACAGGGCTGCAGCCCATACCCCTCCCCCAGCCTGAGGAGCAGGGACAGAGACCACCAGAGACCCTGGAGGCAGGACACCAGGCAGTGAGGGCCAGGGCAGGGCCTGGCCTTCCTGCTGACCTTGCTCTTCTCCAAGTATCGCTGTACCTGCAAACTTGCAAACGTGAGACAGAGGCCGTGAGTAGGCGGTGGCTGCAACGTGCACTTTAGAAAGCAGCCTGCCAGGTGTGGTGGTGCACACCTGTAATCCCAGCACTCCAGAGGCTGAGGTAGAAGGACTGCTGCAAGCTCGAGACCAGCCTGGTCTACAAAGTGAGCTCAAGGCCAGCCTGAGCTGCACAGCAAGACTCTGTCTCAAAACAAAGCAAAGCAAAGCAAAACAAAACAAGCTTGGGGGGGCTGGGGATTTAGCTCAGCGGCATAAGCACCTGCCTTGCAAGCAGGCAGTCGTGAGTTCCATCCCTGGTACCGGTAAAAACGAAAAAGACAAAAAAAAAAAAAAAAGAAAAGAAAAGAAAAGAAAAAACAAGCTTGGAGCTCAGCTCCACGCCCACCCTGCCCCTCTCCTTTCTGCCTCCATCTCTGCCCACCAGCACAGCACCACCCCAGGGGCCTCCTCAGAACTGTCCCATGGAGGCTGGGGATTTAGCTCATCGGCATAAGCACCTGCCTTGCAAGCAGGCAGTCGTGAGTTTGATCCCTGGTACCGATAAAAATGAGAAAGACAAAAAAAAAAAAAAAAAAAAAAGAACTGTCCCATGGCTCTGATTGCTCCCTAGATGGTGTGTCCCCTGCTTTCCTTCCCAGTGATGGCAGCTGAGCTAGACTCTGAGGAGCTCAGAATCAGATTAAAAAAACAAAAACAACAACAAAAAACACTATAAGCAAAGGCAAAAGGCAGGTGCAGCCCTGCTATTATGGGAGCAAAGGTTAGTTGGTATGGACGCTGTGCGGCCCGGCCACTGGCTGTGGGGACTGTTCTGCTCCTATCTCAGGGTGCTGTTGTATGGCCTCCACTTGTCACTGCCCAGGACACAATATGTGCTCCGTACACAGGGGTGACTAAAGCTGTAGAGGCACTGGCTGGTGATTCCAGTGACAGTGGCTGTCCACCATGTACAGGACCCGGATGTGCAGGGTGAGGGCAAGCAAATGTCAGAGGCTGTGACTGAAGCTGAGGCTCTGGGGTGAGATGGAAGAGGAGTTGGGGGGACCTGCAGTCTCCACTGTGCCCCTAAGGTCCAAGAAAGCCCGGCCCCAGAGTGAAGGTCACTTAATTCCTAGGTATACAGTGCTTTTAAGGGGCCAATAATTTCCCGCATTTGTGTTTCAGATCCTCCGACTGCCTCGTGACAGGGTCTCTGCTTTTTATTCCTTCTGTGATCTGAAAGCAGCAGCGCCCACAGCTGGCACCAAGAAGGACGCATGATGGGCCCAGATTGAAAGGCAACAGCTCAAAAAAATAAATAAATAAATAAAAATAAAAAAAAAAAAAGAAAGGCAACAGCTCTACCTTGAACAGGTTGATGTTGTCCACCTGGCTCTGAAAGAGTAAGTCGCTGATGGTCTTCAGCTCAGTCTCTGAGAGCAGACAGGAGAAGGGATTGGGGGCCTGCACTGGAGCCTGGCTTCCGGTGTCACAGGGACAGAGAAGCTCAGATCACCCAGGTTGCTGAGCAACTCCTCACCTGTCTGTGAGAGGCTCTGTGTGTTGGGGTTCTGCTTGATATTCCCTGAGAGAGAGACATAAACAGGTCAGAGTGGAGCTGCCCACCCCCTACTTCTGCCTTCTCATCTCCACACTGCTCACAGGACTAAGCCTTCCCATCGCAGCAGGCTCCAGCGGCTGCTTTGCTTTTGGTCCTTTATGGCAGGCAGAGAACCGGCTGAGAGGGCAGAGGTTCCGGCTGCCTCACGGGCCCGATGCACATGGAACCTGATTCTTTCTTTTCGGGCCTCCTCCTGAGCAGGGCAGATGGCTCCCACCATGCGTAGCACAGGAGCAGATGGCTGCCGGGGTGATGGGCTGCAGTGGTCAAGGTAGAGGAAGCAGGGAGCCCAATTGGGTTAAGATCCTTCTGAAGATCCCCAGCAGCTCCCCACCTTCGTGGGCACAGACACAGATAGGCCAGGGGTCCATACCACAGTCACATGAGAAGCACCCAGTCTGCACTCAGTGACTCATCTGTGAACCTGGGTTCAAACAGACAGGCTGCTCCCATCAGGGACAAATGAAACTGAGGCCATGCAGGGCACCGCATATGCTGCCAGACTACAACCCCTTCACAGAATGCCACGCATTGTATCAAGTGTGGCGGAGTGTGGTGGGGGGAAGGGCACAGAGGCACCAGGGCCCAGCACCTGCCTGGCAAGTGCAAGGTCCTGAGTTTGATTCCTGGTATCAAAAAGAAAAAAATGAAAGAGCACAGAATGTGGGCAAATGCACTAGGCTGTGAGGTGTGACTGCTGGACTCAGCAGAAAGAATGAGAATCTGGAAGATCAATGATCGAGACACAGCTAACACCTGTGGGAGATTTTGGGGTCCTTGCTGGCAGTCAAGGAAAAGGTGGGGACTGCGGCAGTGCCTGCCTACCTCCCAGCATGGTCACAAACTGCTCCAGCAAATACAGGATCTGCTTGATGTACATCAGATTCTTGGCTTTCAGACGCTTCCTGTGGAGAAACCCGCAGGCCTCGAGTGGGGGCTCCCTACAGCTCCCTGCTACCTGGCCAGGTCACAAATTATCACCACCCCAGGAAGAAGGCAGGCTGGCCCCCAAGAGCCAGAAGTCCTGTCTCAAGCAGGCAGGGCCCAGTGGGGCACCCACTGTGGACACAGGACCAGGATGGGAAGTTGACCGCGCACACCCTCTGCAGGCCAACAGGACCAGGACCTTCCCGCCCACCCTGAGGCCACGTCCCACCTGTACCGCTCCATGTACTGCAGCAACTGGGAGAGTGCCTGGCAGAGCTGGGGATGGAGCACAGAGCACAGGCTGAGGTCAGACCAGGCTCTGGACAAGCGGCTGAGAGCTGGGCCAGGAACTGGCATTACACGCAGAAAACGTTAGCTCGGGCCTCACAGGAGCAGTCATGGGCATGGGGAGCGGGAGCCAGGAACCCATGGCGTGTGGTCTGTGGCCCTGGGACTGACGGAGCTGAGAGCATAGGAAGCTCTGCTTTGTGTGCAGCTGCTTCCAGGCTGGACAACGTGAGAGGCTGAAACCCTCAGGGAAGGAAGCTCCCTGCTGGTTTTCCCTGGACAGGGAAAGACCTGGTGTTTCCCATGGTAACTATAATGCCCCAGCCTAAAGTACCTGGGACCCTGCTCCGCTGGTGTGAAGCCAGTGGTCTGTTGGGAGCCGCAGCAGCGCTAGATCACCATGCGCAGCGGTCATGCAGCCTGTAGGAAAGAGCGAAGCCTGAGCTAAATTACCCCTCCCATCGAGTGAGCCAAGATTGCGCCTACTTCCTGCTTTCTGGTTGTTGCCGCTACATAAACAGCCCGCTCAGCAGAACAGTCTACCTAGCAACAACTGATGCTAGCCAATCAGCTTGCAGTGCCCACCTTGATTTGATTGGATGCTGTAATTACCTATAAGCTGCTGCCTCTCCCATTTGGAGGAGGAAGCACTGAAGGAGCCGCGGGCAGCGGACCGGTAGAGGCTTCGGCCGGGAGGGATCCCGGGGCAGACTGCACGGAGAGAAAATAAAAGGAAGCTTAACCACTGCCAGATTCTGTTGTGTGTTCTTCCTGCCGGCCGGGAGCGACACCGACATCTGGTGGCCCGTACGGGGAACTGATCAACCCCGGGACGCGGCAGTGGACGACGTTCTCCGATACAGTGCTGCAGGACAGGTGAGTAGAGGATAAGCCTGGGCCCTGGGTGGCGCGCACCTACAGGGTTTTTAGACTCCTCTCAGGCTCATGCGTAAGTGGCGGGTTCTCTAAGCCTCACGCGGTGGGTAAAACATAATAAAATATATTAAAAATGGGAAACACGCCAGGTAAAGATGCTCAGTCCTTGGTGCTGGCCCTTCGGAGACTTTTAAAGTCCAAGGACCTCAAGGTAGGGCGCAAAACTCTAGAAAACTTCTTTGAGGAGATTGATAGCTTTGCTCCCTGGTTTTTGCCTACGGGGCACTTGAGCTTGCCCTCCTGGGAAAAGTTAGGCAGAGACCTTTCCCTAGCAGAAAGGGAAGACAGAGCTTCGGTCTCCGCTCGTCCATTGTGGGAAATGATATATGCATGCCTAAAGAGTGAGGATAGTCATGGGGGGAGCTCTCAAGAGCTTACAGAAGTACGCAGGGTATTTGAGCAGGCCCAGTCAGGGAGCTCCCGAGAGGGGTCCGTCAAGGGGAACAAGGATGCTAAGGAGGAGGACGGGGCTCTAGCCTCGGAGTCGTCTGACTCCGAGGACGAGGGAAGGTTGAATGGCAAGGAGGCCAAAGAGACCAGCTGTCAGGAGGCTAAGTCGCTTGATGGGGAGACGCAAGGCTCTTTCGCTGCGTTGCGCAGCGAATTGCGCTCCGCTCAGCTAGGCTTACGAAAAAGAAGAGAGCTTCTGAGCGCCCCCTGGCAGGGGAGGGAGACAGAACCTTCTGCTCCGCCCTGGAACTCGTTCCCGGAAGCGGTCCCTCGCCGCGAGGCCGCCGCATGGGAACTCCCCCCTCTTCCGTCAGTACAGGAAGTAACGCACAGGCCGCCGCATGATGCTCCGCCGCCGGCGGGACGTTATTTCCACAGACAGCTGTGGCGTGGGGGTCGTGTGTCTAATGAAGACCACCCGTTCCCAGGGATAGATAGCGGCCCCTATGGGATATATCCTGTACAAATGGCCCTAGGCCAGGGACGTAATGTGTGGGAACCCTTTGAAATAAAACAGATTAGAGAACTTAAAAGTGCTGTTACGACCTTCGAACCACTTGAATGCCTGAGAGCACATTTAATTTCTGTGGAGTGCCACATGTGGCTAAAACAACTCTTTAATGTGCAATTAGTTTCTAGAGCAAAATGTCTGTTTATGAGGGGAATCTTTATATTGGGCTTTTATATTTTTTGAAATACATTTCTTTCTGTTTAGTGTCATCATGTCACATTTACACTATTGCCTTTTTAAAAATCAAAGCCACTGATAACTCTAGTATTGCATCATTTTGAGCAGTGTATAGTGATTATAATGTGTTCTTAAGCATAATAGACTGCTTTTAGAAAATAACATAAAAATATAATAGCTTTTGTATAAAGATTTTCTTTTGCTATAGTGAATATCAAGGATTTTTTTCCTGACTTTTAGGGAGGAATGAAAAGAATTATCTCCCTCTAAGAGTAATTTTTTATTATCTCATAGCAATAATGTCACCATTATTATCAGAGAGTAAAATATGCCTTGTATGAGAAAACAGACATGATTTCCTCTTGGGAATTCCCTTTATAACTTAGTATTTTCTTCCACTTGAGAAAGTTCCTATATTTTCAGATTATTTCACCTTGAACTTTTTTGAGCTTTCGTGCAATGTTTTATTGATCTGTTTTTGTACAATTTCATTTTACTTCATATGTCCGTCTTCTGCCTATTTGAATCAGCTGTAGCAGATTTTGAATTTGTTGTTTAAAAAGTTGTTTTATGTGCTGCCTCATGGATTTGTGTTACTTTTAATTTTATACTATTCTATGGAAATTATTCTTAAGTTTATATTCTTGAAGTCTGCCATTTGTCATTTTCTGTGGTTTAAGGAAGAACACCTCAAACAATATTTTTGTGTATCTTGAGGAACAAAAACTTCTTTGCCTTCTCTTGTAAGGGAAGAACTATGTTCAGTTAATAACTACTTTATCTCTTGATTAGTGGTAAAGACACAAAAATGCTGAATGATATGCTCGGCCAATTGGTCGAGGCCCTGAGGAAAGCCAATTTACATATTGCCCCCGACAAGATTCAGGGAGGGGACATGGTGACTTATCTAGGTGCCAGGATTTCCCCTACATTGATCTCACCACAAAAGGTGACCATTAGAACAGATGGTATTACAACCTTAAATGACATGCAGAAGTTATTGGGGGATATAAATTGGATTAGACCTTACTTACATGTCCCTAATTCAGATTTAAAGCCCTTGTTTGATCTTCTAAGAGGGGATCCAGATATCACTTCTCATAGAAAGCTCACCCCAGAGGCCAGAGTTGCTTTGAGAAAGGTAGAAGAGGCCTTGGGCAGAGCTACATTGCGGAGAATTGACCCGGAACAGCCTTTTGACATCTGCCTGTTGCGGACCAGCTCCCAGCCCACAGCGGTGATTTGGCAGAAGGGACCACTTCTGTGGGTACATCCCAAGGTTTCACCTGCCAAGATTATTGAACATTACCCGGAAGCAGTTGCTTCTCTGGCCCTGGAGGCGCGTAGTCGAGCCATCCAGCATTTTGGCTCCGTGCCTCAAGCCATTCGGGTGCCTTATACCGCTAATCAAATCAAAACTCTGATTGCTTGTATAGATACTTGGGCCATTCTAAGATGCATATTTCATGGAGAGATAGACAATCAGTTTCCTAAGGACCCTGTGTTACAGTTTGTTACTCAGCATCCGGTGGTATTCCCAAAAATCACCGCCTCCGAACCCATCGCTCCAGCAACAACAGTTTACACTGATGGGTCCAAAACTGGGATAGGAGCCTATGTGGTCTCAGGCATGTCTCCAGTTAGTATACAGTTTGAGCCAGACCAACCACAAGTGGTAGAATTACAGATTGTACAAACCGTCCTCGAAAAGTTCCCAGGAGCCATTAATATTGTTTCTGATTCGAAATATGTGGTCAATGCCATGCAGGTCCTTGAGACTGCAGGCCCAATTAAACCAACCTCTAAAGTGACTGGCTTGCTCCTGTCTATTCAGATATTGCTCCTAAACAGACACAACAAAATATACACCACCCACATAAGAGCACATACACACTTACCAGGGCCCATGGCACAGGGCAATGCGGCTGCTGATGCGGCCACTCGCCCGTTATGGATTTTCAATATGTTATCTCCAATAGAACGAGCCCATCAGTTTCATGACAAGTTCCATGTCAATGCCAGGACGTTAGCCAACCAGTACCGCATCTTCAGGGCTGACGCGCGGGACATCGTGCGACTGTGCGGCTCATGCGCCACACACACGCCTGTCACATCAATGGGGGTTAACCCCAGAGGGTTGATCCCTGGCGATATGTGGCAAATGGATGTCACACACATGACAGAATTTGGATCTCTTAAGTATGTCCATGTCTCCACGGACACCTGTTCTCATATCATATTCGCAATTGCAGAGACAGGTGAAAAGGTATCTAATGTGATTAATCATTGCCTAGCGGCTTGGGCCGCGTGGGGCAAGCCCAAAATATTAAAAACAGACAACGGACCAGCTTATACAGGAAAAGCCTTCAATGAGTTCTGTACGACTATGGAAGTACAATTAAAACATGGTATCCCATATAATCCTCAAGGCCAAGGAATTATTGAAAGAGCTCACAAAAGCCTCAAAGAAATTTTATGTAAACAAAAAGGGGGAGTAGGCCAAGGACTGCCCCCAAAGGCACGGCTATCCATGGCACTGTTTACATACAATTTTTTAAATTTGAACAATAACAATCACTCCCCAGCTATGGAGCATTGTAATCCATCTCCTAGCAATAAGGGATGGGTAAAATGGAAAGATGTCCTGACGGGACAATGGGTGGGCCCGGATCCAGCAGTCAGCTGGAACCGAGGTGCGGTTTGTGTTTTTCTACAGGGACCGGGACGGGAACCATTGTGGGTCCCGGAAAGACTGACGCGTGCGACAAGCTCTTCGACTGAAGACCAATCCTGCCCTGCCGGAGACCAGCAGTAGACCTGATAACCAGATGAGCCCAAAAGGAGCTGCCCTTTTCGTTGGGGGCGCTATCATAGCCCTCCTCAGGATAAGTATGGTACATGCGGGGCTGGGGGGCCCCGCTTCTGGAACAGACCTACGCACAAGCCTTCTTGGCAATCCGTGCGACTGCAGAGGTGGCGTGGTAAGCAGTATACCATCTGGTGGCATCTATAAAAGAGCAGGGATCGATTGTGGGGATAAAACAGCTTACTCAGTTGCATACATCTCTACTGCAGGAGGATTTGGTCAATCATCCTATCAGTGCATACTCAAGCCTAGGGTGACTCCCTTAGGGCCCGGCAATCTCGCCACATGTCCTTGCACTAAGTTCGAAGAATCCATGCATGCCACGTGCTATACAAAGACAGAGCAATGCAAAATCAACAATACAACCTATTGGATGGCAACACTAACTGCAACCAGAAGCCCTGTTGCCCCTGACCATATTCCCGCTGCTGTAGGCGCTTCCCCATTCATGCAGTCAGGTTGTAACGGAGAAGTTGGAAAAACGGTCTGTTGGTCTATGGCCGCCCCCGTTCACATCTCTGACGGTGGAGGGGTCCAAGACCAATACCGGCAGGCACTTATGCCACTGAGCAATTAAATCCGTTCCCTGAAGTCAATTACCATCCACTCCTACGCCCTAAATCCCGAGGCATTAACCTTGATCCCGCTACTGAATCCGTCTTGGAAGCCACCCATAGAGCACTCAATTTTACAGACCCAACCCTGGCTTCTGATTGTTGGCTGTGTATGATGATGGGAGAATCATGGCCACTGGCCATGCCGTTTAGACACAATGAAAGTGAACCTTACGATTATAGCGCACCCTATAACTGCTCACATGGGCCTCCATTTCGGGTCCAATTTATGGGACAGTTTAATGCATCCTGTTTCCAAAAATACCCACAAAATAATAGTTATGATATTGTTGTTGGAGCGCTGGCAGCCGCCTCGTGTGAGTCCATAACCAATGTAAGTAATAGCTCGCCGCTATGTGCCCCCTTTGGCAAAGTATTTGCTTGCGGCAATGGTCATGCTTATACCTACCTGCCCAGTAATTGGACCGGCCTATGTGGCTTAGCTTATTTGTTGCCTGACATAGGTATTGTCCCTGGAGACCAACCCATGCCCATCCCAGCTGTGGACACCTTTATAAGAAGAGCCAAGAGAGATGTAGTGATTTTACCTCTCTTGGCTGGTCTGGGGATAACTGGAGCCCTGGCCGCCGGGACCGCGGGCCTAGGAGTTTCATTAACCAAATATACTCAGTTATCCAAGCAATTGATAGAAGATATGTCTATCGTTGAGAGGACCCTCCAGGAGATACAAGACCAAATTGATTCTCTTGCGGAGGTCGTTCTGCAGAACAGAAGGGGCCTAGATCTACTCACTGTAGAAAGGGGAGGTATCTGTATTGCCTTACAGGAAAGATGCTGCTTTTATGCCAACAAGTCCGGAATCGTTCGAGACCGATTAAAGAAACTGCAAGAAGACCTAGAAAAGAGAAGAAAAGAACTACAAGACAATCCCTTTTGGGGAGCCTGGAATGGCTTGCTCCCCTATGTTTTACCATTGTTAGGTCCCCTGTGCTCCTTGCTGCTGCTTTTGCTTGTAGGGCCATTCTTGCTCCGATGGGTTACATCATTTATTAATGGGCGCCTTGCGGCGGCCCGACGTCAAGTACGCCTGGTTGCCCATGCGGCCCTGGCAGCAGCCCGTGATGGGCACAATGACCCCCAGGCTTACGCATGGCTCGCTCGACTGGCCTATGACCGGGTCTAGATGTGGCGGGTCTCCCGCATTCCTTCCCTGATGACACCAAACAGCAGGGTAGGTGAGTCAATGACAGGTAAGAGCGTGCCTCCCCAGCACAACTCGACCTAAGCCAGGCCCTACCCCATACTGCACGAAAGCCGCTGGATTACTAGAATCTGCCCAGATCTAGATGTCTCTCCGAGGGGATCACACGGAGTGGCATGAGTGCATGCCTATGTGCATCCAGGTTCCGTCCGGTTCACTCCTGGCCCTGGAAAAAGGACGAGGGTCTCAGGGCCTTGGCGGACCCGGTGGGCCTCAACACAGGGCATAAGCCTCTGCACTCAATCCAGGGCGGGCTGCGATGCACACATTCATTCAAAATAAAGTAGGGGGAGATGTTGGGAGCCGCAGCAGCGCTAGATCACCATGCGCGGCGGTCATGTGGCCTGTAGGAAAGAGCGAAGCCTGAGCTAAATTACCCCTCCCATCGAGTGAGCCAAGATTGCGCCTACTTCCTGCTTTCTGGTTGTTCCGGCTACATAAACAGCCCGCTCAGCAGAACAGTCTACCTAGCAACAACTGATGCTAGCCAATCAGCTTGCAGTGCCCGCCTTGATTTGATTGGATGCTGTAATTACCTATAAGCTGCTGCCTCTCCCGTTTGGAGGAGGAAGCACGGAAGGAGCCGCGGGCAGCGGACCGGTAGAGGCTTCGGCCGGGAGGGATCCCGGGGCAGACTGCACGGAGAGAAAATAAAAGGAAGCTTAACCACTGCCAGATTCTGTTGTGTGTTCTTCCTGTCGGCCGGGAGCGACACCGACAGTGGTCCCCTCCCAGCTCACCATCCCTGCACTGTGTGACCTCAGGTGCTGGCCTTGCCCGAGTCTCCAGGCTCCCAGTCAGCCAGGATCTGGCCCCTCCACCCAGGAGGGGATCAGTATGGAGGGTAGAGGCAGCACACAGATGTGACATATTACAGAAAGAAACTCCTAGGGATCCTGAGTACACCCCAATTAAATCCCCCTAAGCAACATGAAGAATAACAAGACCCAGCGACCCGAGACTCCTACTGCTCTCTGGCCTGTCCTAGCCGGACAGTGGGACTGTGCAGCTCTACCAAGCGCAGTCCCAGGAAAAATTAAGGACTGGGGCCTCAGGGAAAGGGCCACAGCCCGCAGCCCCATGCTTGTCAACCCACCTGGGACCCACTGACCTCCGTGCTGTGTATGTCTGCGATGGTGTCGATCAAGTTGTGTGCCTTGTCGATGATGACGACCTGGCTCTGCAGCTGGATGCCCGCAGCCTGTCGAGTGGCCGCATGCAACAGCATCGGGTAGGGCAGCACCACCAGCTGAAGGCCACCACTCCTCCTCCTGCCTAGGAGTAGCAGGCAGGGTGTGGGCTGTGCCCATAGCTTAGCCACCTCGGCCCCACTGGCTGTCCAATCTGGGACCCTGGACCGGGAGACATAGGTGTGGGGCAGAGCAAGAGGGCACCAGGGCCAGGACGCCTGATGCTGCTCACCTGCCAGGAGCCCAAGGTCACCAGCCTCGTATCCTTGCCAAAGGGGCTCTACTGAACTTCCTACACAAACTGGGCCAGCTAGGAGTGTGTCCGGCTGCAGTATTAAATCTGCCCAGAGCAAAGGGGAGGTCAAAGAGGGGACAGAACAGCCCCAGGTGCTCTCGGAGCATCGAGACCTGGAGCCTGCGGGAACAGGTACAGTGATTGCAAATGTAGGTTCTTATGGAGGTAGTGTCACCCACATCAGATGGCACCAAGGAATGCCAGTCAGGTGACAACACCCAGGTCCTGCCTCTGACCCTGCTGGAGCATAGGGCTCGGGGTCTTGGGATGATCGTGTCCCTACCCTCACCTCCTGGGGATAGTGTGGGAGGGAACTCCTGTGCATCACCCTAAGTGTGAGGCAGAGGCCAAGGCAGATGCTCCCTCTCCTCTGGGACTTCAGATTGAGGACAGCAAGAGAGAAAAGCGGTGCATGCCAGGGTCAGCCCCACATAGAAGGCCCTGGGCCACACATCCCCCTTTGTGACATGGTCTTCTTCCAGGTCCTCCTCGTTCTCATCCTCATCCACCCTAAGGGACAGGATACGCCACAGTCTCCCCTCAGCAACTCAGCAAGGCGAGGGGCAGCTATGCTCCTGGGCACTTACTGAGCTGCTGGGGGATCGGGACTGAGAGCCAGCAGACTTCACCCTGCAGCGAGGCACCCTACAACCATGGGGATGCTGCCTACCCCTGCAAGCTCCAGCCCTGCCTGCCTGCAGCTCAGGTCTGTGTGGCCCAGGAGTGTGGGAAGGAAGGGGAGGGGGCTCAGGTCCCTAAGCTAGAGTCACAACCCAGGGGCCCATACTCAAAAGTCACAGGACAGATGACAGGCCTAGTACTAGAGGAGTTACAGTGGGACCAGAGGTGAACAGGGCTGGGGCAAACTGCCCCTGGTCATGGAGCTGCAGGAGGAGGGGGGTGTGGGAGCAGGGGAGTAGGGAGAGGCCTGGCAGGGAACCCGGGGATCTGATGGCCTCAGCCTCAGCCTGGCTGTCACCAAGGACATCCCCCCATGGACCATGGACACAGCCTTGCTGCCCCTCTGGGAGGAACCCAGTCCTGGACTCCATTCTTTGCCACTAAGTTGCCCAGCTCTGCATGAGAAGGACATAGTTGGTGGGGATGCAGAGAGCAGCCTGAGGCCTGACAGCCCGACGGGGTCTCCAGCAGTGCGGCAGGGGCAGGACAGGAGGGCACCCACCTGGCGTTGGGCTGTACGCTTGAACTGTGCACTGTGGCGGGTCTGCTGCAGCCGCTCCTCTCGCTTCCTCCTTCTGCTCTGCTCTTCCTGGGGAACACAGCCTTGAGGAGACTCCTGTGGGGACCCCTACTGGCCTCCAGAGCATGGGGGCCGCAGCAGCCCCTCCTTCTGCTGCCTCGGGCCAATGCCAAGTGCAGGGTGCAAGGTGAGTGGGGGAGGACAGAGGCCACTGCACCAACCCCAGGATCCCACCCAGACTCGCCTTCACTTGCTCTGCCAGCTCCCTGTCCTCCTTCCTCTGCACAAACTGGGTGACCCAGTCCAGCTCTCCTCCAGGCCTCAGGGCAGTGGGGGGCGCCGGGCAGGAAGATGGGGCTGCAGGAAGCAAGTCCTGGCCCTCAGGCAGGGGCTGGGTTCCAGGAGCCAGGAGGCAGCACACCTTTTCCTGCTGTTTCTTCTGTTCAAAGTCACGGAGCCAGTTCAGAGCCCTGCAGATGAGAGTCAGGAACTTTCCCTGCGGGAACAGAGGGCAGGTTGCTGAGCGTTTCTCCAAGCTTCCCTCCTCTTGGATGGTGGTGCTCCCTACGTGAACTCGCCTTCTTCCTTCAGGTGAGCGCTACACCACTGAGTGGCAAAGTGGACCTCTTCATTTTTCTGCTTTTAATTTTGAAACAGAGTCTTGAAATTTTGCCAGGCTGGACTGGCCCCTTCCACCCAGCCAGCCCAGCCTTCGAAGTTGCTAAAATGTAGAGGACTTTTGTCATTTTCGTAAAGGCTTCAAAGCTCTGGCTTTACAAATGAAAGGGCTCCCTGAGTCAACCAAGGAAGGGAAGGGAAGGGAGGGGGGAGGGGGAGGGGGAGGGGAGGGGAGGGGAGGAGCAGCCAATACAACAGCCAGGACAAACAAGCAAAAGGAAAGAAACAGACATGGGGCCCAGCAGCAGGAAAGAACTGCTTTAATCATGATGCTCAACACTCCGAAAGGAACTTACGGTGGCTTTGTGGGGTGCATACAAATTCTTCATGGTAACAACCTGTGACAAGAAACTAGACTAGCACTAGCACCTCTGCCAAAAGAATTAAGGTATGTGTCCCTGTAATACGACATCCGTAACTCTCTGGGGAAGAACCCAGAAGGGGAATAGCTGGGTCAAATGGAATTTCTACTTTTAGGGCTTTGAGGGATCTCCACACTGACTTCCTCAGTGGCTGTACCAGTTTCCATTCCCACCACCAGTGGAGAGGGATTCCTTTCCCCTCCAGCCTCACCAGGATTTGCTACTATTTGACTTCTTCCTGACAGCCAATTTTTCTGGAAAAAGATGAAATCTCAGCATTGTTCTATTTGGTATTCCTCTAATGGTCAGTAATGCTGAACATTTTTTATGTGTTTATTGGCCGCTTTTACTTCTTCAGAGAAGTGTCTACTCATTTCAGTGATGCATGTGCACTTCACAGCAGCATATTCATAGGAGCTAAATCTTGGAAACAACCTTTATGTCCGTCCACAGATGACTGGATAAAGAGAATGTGGTATTTACAGACATGGGAGTACTACTCTGCCACAAAGAAGGGTAAACTTGAGTCATTTGTAGAAAATGGACATACTTAGCTCATAAGCTTAAGTAAAATAAATCAGACACAAAAGCTTATCTATCATGTGGTTTGTTATACAAAACCCAAAATATAAATAAAGAGCAAATCAAACACAGAAAATAGGAAATAGTATGACAGCTCTTTTGCAAATGGGAAGAAGACCAAGAGATGGAGGGAGGAGAGAGGAGGGAAGGAAAATGCGGGCTGAAAAGGGAATTAAGATGTGCTGTGTCCATGTGCCAGCTCCCCAAGGGAGGGGAATCATTATGTGCTGCAAATAAGAACTAATAAAAACTAAATTGGATAGAAAGGAATTCAGAGCTTTTCAGCAGAGCAAATCCACAGAGTTGCCAAGCCATGTTAGCCTCAGCTTTAAAACAATCAATGTGCAGACGCAACACGATCTGTCCTAGTGCTTAAGGTTTTGTTCGTTTTTCCCCCCAAAGTCAGTCAACTGCTCTGGAGATGTGATTTAAATATCAGAATTTTCCCTGTGGCCCTCGCTGCAGGCTGAAATGAATCCCCCCAAAGCTGGGATGAGGAAGTCCTTGTCCTGTCCCAGAGAGTGACCTTATTGGAGCACAGGATCACTAGAGATGTGCACTAGTGTTTCCCAAGGACCTGTGTGTTGGGGTGGGGGCCAGATGCAGCCACAGAGGTGAAGACTGTGTCCTTGGAAGGACAGTCAGGGACCTGGACAGACCCTTTTTCACTGCAGCCTTAGGAAAAGCCAGCCCTGTTGCCACCTTGCAGTCCACCTTGCAGAAGTGTAAGACAGCAGGCCCAGCTGTGCGAGCCCCTCAGGTGTGGGGTGAGGTTCCGGGTCTCTGACACAGACCGAGTCCACAGGCCGCTCCTCTGGGTTGGTTCAGGTGCCCAGCCTTTCTGCCCAGGAACGAGGATGCTGACATCTCAGAGCATCGGCACAGGTTCCGACCCTGATCCAAGCTGAATGTGCAGTGGGAGACAGAGCCCTGTGCCCAGGGAGGAGGGAGTGCAGACTGCAAGCTGAGGCTTCAGATGCCACCGCCAGGCTGTCGGGGATACATCCTGGCTCCTCTGCTTCCCAGTTCTGGGGCTCTGCGGTCACCTCATAATGCGTGCTGCCACACATGTATGCAAAAAGGGGGTGAGGAGCATCCCTTCCTCTCAGAGGTGTAGGCACTGAAATTAGTTAAGACAGAAAGGCAAATGGCTGTAGCAGGATCCAAAGAATACCTGGTACACAATAAGTAAGCAGCTGGAGATGTGTACAGTACTAATAAAATTATCATCATCCAGAGATGTGGAAGCTATGGGCATGCTTTAGAACTTGAAAGACCCTGTGCCAGAGTACATGCTGCTGAGTGAACCATTTCACTCAGCTTCTGAGAGACACTGGATGGCAATGTCCTGGGCAGCACAATCAACAGAACCTGGGCTGCTGCTCTGGGTGACCTGGGATATCAGCAGCCAGCAGCTGGGCCAGGTGGGCAAGTGTGGGGAGCAGCTGAAGCTGGAGGTCAGTACCACCTGTGGGGCTGGAGTAAAGCTGGTCCTGAGAATGAAAATCACCCAAGGTGAGCCATGTGAACAAGCTGCTCCAGCTCTGGGGACATGGAGAGCCCAAGTTAACCCAAGCAAACAGGTGAAACGTGTAGGCAGAGTGCCATGTGACACCAACCTGCCGAGTGTATAAATAAATGCATTGCAGTGATCTGAGGGTGTCACTCCACAGTATGGTGCTTGCCTGGCAGGGAGAAGGCCCAGGTTTCATCCCCAGTACCAAAACCAAAAGGAAACAAACCGAAAATAAAACAAAACTCTGCACAAAATTCCAAAATTACACAGAACAGACTTCACTGAACACTCCCAGAGCACCGATGACTGATGGCATCTCATGCAGCACAGACCCACACACCTCGCTGTAATGCTCACAACCAGGAAAGGAAATTCATTCATTTTCCTGACATCTCTGGGTGCAGGGGAATCACGTTTTGGACTGGGCATGGGCACCTAGAAAGTGCCCAGGGGAAAGAGTAACGTGCACTTGAAGGGACGGCACACACTGTGGTGAAATCTAGATAGTGACAGAGCTGTAGTGCCATGCAGGGCAGTGCAGGCACCAAGTGAAGAGGCCACCACCAGGTGCTGGAATCACAGAAGATTTCCCTAGTGACTCAGAGGTTAACCGGGCATCTTGGGCTGTGCATTAGAAGCAGAAGGGTAAAGAAAATCCACTCAGGTTATGAGAGGATATGGATTTCCTTGGAGGTGTGATTTGGAAGGCACCAGAACATAAAGGGGAACTGTGTCATGGGGGCAGATTTCCACAGGAATGGACACACGAGAAGAGAAGCCACAGAACCGAGGATAAACACATAAGGGCTGGGGAGAGTGAGGGGATATGTGAGGGAAACAGAGGACAAGGATGGAAATCCACAAAGGGAGGCACAAGGCCAACAGGGTAAGTGAGGCAAGATCAACGCTGCTCTTCCATGTTTCCAGCCAAATCTCTTACTACTGGACAAAAGTCAAGCGATTCATACTCACAAAAACAAAAAAGCAGAAGAGCAAATAACCAGCTCAAGAATAGACAGAGAGACAGAGACTTGGACCTGAGTCAGCAGAGCAAGGATCCCAAAGCCTAAGGGCCTCCGAGGTTACCAACTGAGACACAGGAGCTCAGAGGCAATCTGAATGACCATGTTGCCCAACTTCCAGCCCCAAGAATCTCTGCAGAGGCGAGAAGTGGAAGCCTTCATGTTCTCAGTCATTGTCCCATGTCACACACTCACCGTGCCAGTGGGACTCTCAAATATCCTGATCTTGCCAGCCTCCAGCACATGATACAGATCTGCCACGAAGTCCTTCTGGATGGAGTAGGGTGGGAGGGGAAAGGGGAAATCAATGCCACTGGATTCCTGGATTTTATCAGCCATGGTTCTAGGGAAAAAACACAAAGAGAAGTGTTACCTCTCTGTGGAGCAGTGAGATGGTACACAATGGGCTCCACAGTGGTCACAGATGTACACTGGGTTGTAGACTACAGCATGCAGGGACCGTGTTCTCTGCATGTGCTGTGCACCTGCAGGAGCCTGCAACAGACTCATGCATCTCATCCAGAGCCTTCATCAGCAGTGGCTAAGCAGCAGGCGCCCAAGAAAGACCCCAACCCCCAACCCCCCACCTCCAAACCAGCAGTGGAAAGGTATCCTGGATACCTTTCTAATAATTTTCCACAGAAAGACGGTGCCATGGGATCAAGGCTGGCGCTGGTGAGTCCTCTGCAGCATCTCCTCACAGGCTCAGCCACATGGCCCCTGCAGACCCAAGCTGCCTCACCTTCTCCTGGAGGGAAGGCCCATGAAACCCTGGCACCAGCAGAGTCACCAACAAGGCTTGTCCAGAAGAGGCAAGTGACACTCACAGTCCTACCTCTCAGTGTTTGTCCTCCCCATCCAAGCAAGGGCTCAAGGCTTCATTTCATCTTTTTTCTCCTCTTCTGAAGTTTTCCCTGCGAGCCTTGCAAATTCTTTCTCCTCTAATTGCCATTCTGGGGACCGGTTCTTCTATTTTGCTTCCTACTGCTCACTCTTAGGAAGTAATTTCTCTAACATAGATGAGAGGTGCATCTCTTCTCAGTATATGTATTTAAAAGTCTAAAACCCATTCTATTAATACATCTTTATTCTATTGTGCACCTGCAGGAGCCTGCAACAGACTCATGCATCTCATCTAGAGCCTTCATCAGCAGTGGCTAAGCAGCAGGCGCCCAAGAAAGACCCCAACCCCCAACCCCCCACCCCCAAACCAGCAGTGGAAAGGTATCCTGGATACCTTTCTAATAATTTTCTAGTTTCTGTTCTCTCAGTGTGTTTCTCCATGGAAGCCCTTGGGGATCCCCTCCCACCCTACTCCATCCAGAAGGACTTCGTGGCAGATCTGTATCATGTGCTGGAGGCTGACAATACAATGCAGCTGTTTGATGGCAATATATATAGAAAGTAAGTAACTGCTGCACGTCCAGGAGGATGGCAGACTGGTGAGCAGCAGAGAAACGGCCTCTACAATATTTGAAATCTGCACACCAGAATACAGCAATGTGAAGAAGAGGAGGAGGAGGAAGGAAGTGGGTTCCTGGGACCCTGAAAGGATCTGAGGTGAGAATTACATACTACGAGGAGAATGAAGAGGGGAGCACAATGCAGAGCAGGGGAGGTGGCAAGCACTGTTTTCTCCCTGAGGCCACTTTGTTCTGGGAAAGCGAGGGGCAGTTTGGATCCCCAGAGGCACAGTGACTACCGGTGACCCCAAGGGCTTCCATGGAGAAACACACTGAGAGAACAGAGCAGTGCATGCTGTGGACTGCAGGGGCTGAGAGTTATTCAAGTTCAGGTATTTCCCAGGAAAGGGGCAACAGAAGTCACAACTCAGAACACCTGGAGGCCTGGCGCCATCTAGTGGCCACAAGCCTCAGAGTGAAGCGCAGCCATGCTCAAGATGGTCCAGGGAGCAAGTGCCAGCAGCAGTCATTTGGGGTGAAGTGGGCTGAAAAACAGGCCCAAGGCCATAGCCAGAATGCAGTAGTCTGAACTTCAGGGGAATTAAAGGCCCAGGCCTGCTGGGATTATCCACCACCACCGTAATCCTACTGCTGGTTTGCTGGGATCAGTCAGCATGGATCTGGGCTCTGTCTGGCCCCTCTGTCAACCAGTGACAGCAGAGACACACCCTAATTTCTTATGTCTACTTTCCTTCCTTTGCTTTTTAATTTTTAAAAATTTTTATATTTTTATCTTTTATTTTTGCTCTTTTTCTTGATTGATTGTTCCTGTTTTTATACTACTTGGTTTTTGTTTCTTTTCCACTGTACCTGTCTTTCTTCCGTTCTCTCCTGTCCTCTTCACCAGTTTTCTAAATCTTTCTTTGTCCTCCAGCCTTGCTTCTAATCCCTTTCTCTTCTTTTCCTGCTCTATTTTTCCCCCTTAACTCGTTTTTAATTTTCTTTCCTGAGAATAAAATTGCCTTTTAAGGGACTATGTACTGTACAGAATTTTCTGGTTTCTTTTAGATTTGCTTAGGTAACTACAAGTTCTGTTCATATGTATAAAGGTGGCAAATCAATAGTTATGAAGGTTGTCATTTTCTAGGCAGGCACTTGTACCACAGAGCTATATCCTTGGCCCAAAGGCTGTCATTTTTTTAGGGGGTATAGGATACAATTATTACTCATTGTACTACTTTACCCAACGTGACAAAACTGGTCTAATCATTTGTTCTTCCATATATGCCAAGAATGAGACAACCTGAGGATCATAAACAATACTACAGGCCAGTGCCAAAGAACCACCAACTAGTAGGCCAAGTAGGCAGCAGCTTCTCATCCCCAATAATTTGAGTAGTAGAATTTTACAACAGAATCAACACCCAAAAGTCAGCTATAATTTGAAGACATCTCTAAGAAGCAGTCATTTCTTAAGAGTTCTTGAGAATAGAAATAAAGATGCTTACCACAAGCAATTTACAAGCATCAATGCATGAATTATACTGAAATAAAAAACAGAAAATGAGAAGACACAGAAGCCAGATGCAACTCCTGCTCAGCAGTTCCCCAAAGGCAAATCCAAGGGACGATGAGGCAGAACAATTCGAAAGCAACCCTTCTGGACTCTCTAAAGTGGTATCAGTAAAAGGAACAAAGCAGATGAATGAGACTCTAGAAAAAAATCAAATCAGAAATAATTTCTCAGATGACTTCAGAGATGATGGGCATAATGAAGGGCATGATTAGTGATTCTAGAGAAGATATAAATTAAAAACATAGAGGAGCTCAGGAAAATGATGGAAACCATAAATTCCTCATATAAGAAAAAAAATGAAAACCACGAAACAGATTCAAATAGATGCCTATGCGATTAAAAATTCCATTTAAAAGATACACAGGGGCATGAGACAATGTGAGGACAGAATATCAGATCGAGAAAACAGAATTTTGGTTTGTGACCATGAAAAGAAAGATTTATTAAAAATAGAAAGGGACCATGAAAAATCAATCCACCACCAACTGCTAGGTGCTTCAAATAAGAATAAAGTAAGATTGAACAGAGTCAATGACAACTCAGGAGATACTGCAAACAACATAAAAAACCTATTTACCAAAGTAATGGCAGAAAACTTCCCAAACATGAAAAAACAATTTGAAACACAAATAATAAGGCATATACAATTCCAATTAGCCATGATTTTAAAAATCTAGCCAAGTCAGACATGGTAACACACACCCAGAGTCCCAGCGATCAGGAGGTAGGAAAATCACCATGACTTCAAGGCCAGCCTGGGCTACATAGTGAGTTCAAAGTCAATCTACACTAGAAGCAAGACCCTGTACCAAAAATGAAAACCAAACAAGCAAAAACAAGTAAACAAAATGTAACCTAAGGCATGTAATAGTCAAGATTCCAGAAATTCAGCACAATATACAATACTAGAAGCTGTTAAGAGAAAAACAAATCAACTATAAAGGAAGAGCGTCAGAATCACAGAAGACTTCAATACAAACCCTTAAGTCAAGGAAAGCTTGGAGTGAAGTATTTCAGGACCCAAAAGAAAACAACCTCCAACCCAGACTGATATATCCCGCAAAGCTATCTTTCAAAGTTGATAAAGAAATAAGATACTTCCACAACAAAGAACTGAAGAAATTCATGGTCACTAAACTAGCTCTACAAAATATTCTGAAAAATATTTTAGAAAGAGACAAGAGTACAATTCCAAAAGCACTAACGATAAGAAACCACCAGGAAAGGCAATCAATTAAACAGAAGGGAATGGTAAGGAACCAAGAACAGGAAAATACAACAGGATAAATCAATACATATCACTTATAACTATCAATGTAAATGGCCTCAATTCACCATTCAAAAGAAGCAGAGTGGGGCAAAATGGATGAACAAAAAGATCCAACAATACGTTGCATACAAGAAACACATTTAAACTCAAAAAGCAATCAAGGGACTGAAATTCAAGGGGGCTGGGGATTTAGCTCAGCAGCATAAGTGCCTGCCTTGCAAGCAGGCAGTTGTTGAGTTCGATCCCCGGTACCGATAAAAACGAAAAAGACAAAAAAAAAGAGACTAAGGGGCTGGAGATTTAGCTCAGCGGCATAAGCACCTGCCTTGCAAGCAGGCGGTCATGAGTTCCATCCCTAGTACCAATTAAAAAAGAGAGACTGAAATTCAAAGGATGAAAAACGAACCCAGAAAAAGGCACAAGTAACTAGTTTATTTGTAGACAGTGAACTTCAAGCTAAGACTGATTAAATGAGACAAAGAAGGCACTACATACTTGCTAAGAGAAAACTGCAAGAGGGAAAGATCATAAATATGCATGTACCAAATGCCAGTGCATCCAACTATATTAAAACATATTAACAGACATGAATAATCATAGTAACAGGGGATCATAATACCCCACAGACAAAAATAGGCACATCAACTAGATAAGAAATCAACAAAGAAGTATCAGAAGTGAACCAAACCTGTGAACAAATGGATTCGTAGATATGTATAGAGTGTTCCATCCTACAACATCATAATACACATTTTTCTCAGCTATGCATGGGATGTTATGGTATCCAAAACAGAACGCATATTAACCCACAGAATACGCTTAAGTACATGCAAAGGAACTGAAATTATTCCATGCATACTCTCAGACCATAGGGTCCAAATTCCCATACCCATTCATGATAAAAACCCTATAGAACATTGGAATACATCACCTTTATCTCAATTAGTTAAAAGCCAGCTATGACAAACCAACAGCCAGCATCATACTAAATGGACAAAAACTGAAAGCTGTCACTCTAAAATCAAGAACAAAACAAGGATGTCCACTATCACTACTCCTGTTCAATATTATTCTGGAAATAATGGCCAGAGAAAACAGAGATGGGAAAGACTTAAAAAGGAATAAAGATGGAAAAGGAATAAATAATTATTTATGCATGACATGATACTCTACATAGACAACACCAAAATGTCCACCAAAATACACCTAGATTTAAAAACCAAATTTTGTACCACATCTTGGTTAAAAATTCATTGCATTCCTATATCCAAATAATGAAATCAGAGAGAGAAATTAGAGAAACAATATCTTTTGCAATAGCATCCAAAAAACCCCAAAAAGGAATAATTAGGAATTAACCAAATGAAAGAAGTAAAAGAACTTACCACCCAAAATTGCAGTAGTTGGAAAAGGGAGATTGAAGAGGATGTCAGAACATGGAAGCCTATTCCTTATTCTAGGGGTAAGAAGAACCAATATAGTGGAACTGTACATACTCCCAAAACTGCTATAAGGACTTAATGCAATCCTGGTGAAAATACCTATAGCATACCTCACCAAGTTAGAGGAAACATTTCTAAAATTGATTTGGAACCAGAAGAGACATAGAATAGCAAAAAGAATCCTGGACAACAAAAGCAAGGCAGGTGGCATTACAATCTCTGGCTTGAAGTTATACTTCAGAGCTATTGTGACAAAAACAGCACAATACTGAGAAGAGAAGGAAAAATAAGCAAAGATAAATACATACATAAATAAAAAATAACAACAACAAAAGAAAAGCAGAACCCAGGATCAATGGAACAACACAGAGGATACAGAAACAATTCTGAACAAACGAAACCATAATGTTTCACAAAATGTTCAAACATAATCATTGAAAGAAAGCCTCTTTAATAAATAGTGGGGGGAAAGCTGGCTTTTCCACATGCCAAAGACTAAAACTAGATCCATATCTCTCTCACCATGCACTAAATTAAAATCACATGGATCAAAGATCTAAATATTAAAAGAAACACTAAACTTGCTGTAAGAGATAATAAGTAGAACTCCTGAAGACAAAGGTGTAGGCAAACACTTAATGAACAAAACTCTAATCTCACAGTAAAATTCACAAAACAATCAACAACTGGGATCCCGTCATACTAAATAGTTTTGCATAGCAAAAGAAATCATCAACAGAGTAAACAGACAATACACAGAGGTGGAAAAATTTTTATCATCTATTCTTCAGACAAACAACTAATGTTGAGAATATATAAAGAACTCGGGCTGGAGATTTAGCTCAGCAGCATAAGCGCCTGCCTTGCAAGCAGGCAATTGTGAGTTCGATCCTTGGTACCGATAAAAACGAAAAAGACCAAAAAAAAAAAAAAAAAAAAAAGATAGAGAGAATATATAAAGAACTCAAATAAAATCCGACCCTTCAAATTTAAAGCCCCAATCTAAAAATGCCCATCTGAAATGAATATACACTTCTCAGATCAAGAAATACAAATGGCAAATAAATACATGTAAAAAAGGTTCAAGATCACTAGTCACTTGAAAGATGCAAATTAAAAAAACACTGAGATTCCATCTCCTTACTGTCAAGAAAATGTAGCTATTGTCAAGAAATCAACAAATAACAAATGCTGGAAGGCCTGTGGGGAAAAAGCTGCCCTTATGTCCTATTGGGAATGTAGACTGGTATAACTACTATGGAAATCAGTGTGAAAATTCCTCAAAACCTAGGTCTACAGGTTCCACTTATCCCAGTTTTCACCCTTCTTGGTATCTTCCCAAAAGAATTAAAAAGAATCACCACAGCAATATATGCATGCTCATGTCTAGAGTAGCAATTGGTAACAGTTAAATCTTGGAAACAAGTCAAATGCCCATCAGCTGATGAGTGGATACAGAAGGCATGGGCTTTTTTTAATATAAAGGAGCGCTACTCAGCCATAAAAAGGTTAAGCTTGAGAAATTTCTACGTAATGGATGAACGCTGAGACTATAGCCTTAAGTGAAATTAGTCAGACACATGCGCTCAAATATTGCACCGTTTATACGTTGTGAGAAACTGAAAGTGTATATTTATACTTGGATTGAAATGTGTATTAGATATTGTGAAATAGGAAGAAAATATTCAAATGAGAAGGGGAACTAGGGAGAGGATTGGGAACAGAAAAAGGGAGAATAGAAGGAAAAATGAAAACAAAGCTTTTGTAAATAAGGAAAAGATGAGCAGTTGAAGGGAAGAGAGAGAAAGAGGAAAAAAGAATCAAGTTATATCACATACAGACACAAATTCCATACCGTGAATGTCAGCATTATGTATATCTAAAATGTACCAATAAAATTCATTAATTAAAAAAATAAATAGAATAATTCCTGGCAGGACCGGTGGCTCAGAGGTAGACCATTTGTCTGCATAAACACTTGGGTTCACTCTAAAGCACTGGGGAGGGAGGAGATGGGAGATAGTAAATAATTCTGCCATCCAGTCAGATGCCAGATGGAGCCCCAATCTGACTTCCTAGGCCTACTCCTGTTTTCTGACCATCCAGATCTTTTAGTCTGCACACAGCCTCTTCAATCACCTCTGCCAAGGTTGAAAGTTTTTTTCCGGTTTTAGTTCTCAATCCCCAGACAAAGACTGATGAGCACCACCTACTCCCTCTCTCTAAAGGAGGCTCGCAGGTCAATCTACGTATCTTTGGTGAGACACTGTGCCTTATCTAATCAATCTGTGCCTACTAATCACTAGCTCCCCTGCCGTGGAAATGATGACTCAATACTCAGAATTCAGCTCACGCCCCAATTTTGCCACTTGACAAGAGTCCAAAACACTGCAATACACACACATGTACCACATGCATGCGCACACAAACTATGCACACACAAACTATGCACACATGCTGCTTTAGGTTGCACCTTTATCGTATCACCTTGTACTTAATTTCTTTGTAGCTCTTAGCACTAACTGAACCTATTTCACTCACTATTTTTCTATCAACTATGGAAAACGAGAAATCTTCTGTCTTGCTCTTCTTGGCTTCCAGGTCTCAGGGGAGGAGCTTTAGCATAACAGGGGCGTTTAATAAAATTCTGATAAATAAGTAAGTAGCCAGCTAGACATAAGGGGGCGTAGCCAGAGGTTTCTGCTCTTCACTGGTGTGGGTAGAGAGATGTCCTGACTTCAGTATCCAGTCCAAGAGCCATCCTTAATGGCAGAAACCTCGTGTGCTTTGTATTTCCATCAGCTTTTTCATAGGTGAAGAAGAGACTCGGAACAGTGACTTGATCAAGTTCACGCAGCAGGTGGCTGAGCCTAGGAGGGGTCTCTGCTGCTCCCCACACCCTCAAGTATCATATTTCCTGATGTTGCACCCCAATGATATACCTCAAAAATGAGGCAAGAGGCTATCCAAAAAGAAAAAGCACTTTATTTAAGCTGGTACCCAGGGACACAGTCTCATTGGAAACTGCAGAGCTGTGCAACCAGGTTAGGTTCCTGGGAGGTTTATAAAGGGAAAAACCGCAAAGCAAAGGGAGGGGACTGAGGGGGAAGAAGGTCTTTTGTCTCCTGATTTGGCCTGGAGACACATTTCTTAACTCTACAGGATATTAACTTGTGTAACTTGTGGTCAGCTAGTTCCAGGAACACATTGCTGTTCTTGGGAGAGAGTAGTTTATGGGAAAAAGAAGTTGGAACAAAGGAAGGGGGTAAGGATGCTTACAGAACAGGATGGCAGCGCTTTGATTAGGTTACAGCACCTGATCCATACTCTCTCCACAATAAGGAAGGCAAAAGAAAAGACTAAGTTTTCTAACAACAATGCAGAACATAAATAATCATCATTTCCTTTCCCCATGAGTGTAAGTAGGGATCTTATTACCCCAGAAGCAGCACAGGTCAACCAAGGTTAAATAACGGGGAGATCAAGTGCCACCGCCACAGATTCGCTCAGCACTGCTGAGGAGGTCATCTGTCTCCTCCTCAGACCTACTCAGGGGCTCGGTGGGCAGGAGCAAGATCTCCTACAAACGTGTTCCGTGGAACTCCGCGCCATGGCTGTGGCGCACATGCTCCAGAGTCGCGATCACTAAATGCCTTGGGAAAGCACTTGGCACAGATTCCCCAATTTAAGGCCAGAGGCCCGATAGCGGTCCTCAGGATACCAAACAGCGCGCTAGTTCTCTGAAGGCCCGTCCTCCCGGGCCCGCCCTTCGCCCATTGGCCTATTGCCCGTCCATCACGAGGCCCCGCCCCGCGCACCACACACCCGCCCCTCGGCTCCGCCAGTCCCGCTGCCTCCCTCAGCCCCTACTGACCACGTATGCCGGCGTCTGACCTTCCTCAACCGGTTCTCCAGTCTTCAGCTCCGCCACCGTGCTTACTGTCCTCCCTCAGGGCAGGACCGCTGGGCTGGGTCCAGTGGAGAGAGCGAGATCCTGGGACACCAGACTGAATTGGAATCGCGCGCCCCCTCAGCCGCAAATCACAGCAGCACAGACCACGATGCCACGCCCCCATGCCCGCGCCTGCGCACTTGGAACAAGCTGGGTCGCTGGTTCTCTGGTTAAGAGGGGGGCGTGGCGTTATTTGCGCTGCGCTACTGCGCTGCGCGCTGTTTTCCTGGCTAAGATTGATGTTCTGGCAACGAAATCCTAGAGCTGCCTTGATCTTGAGAAGCTATGATCCGGTCTCCGATCACAAACCCGGCCCTATTACCGTGCTACTGGAACTCTCCCGGCAGTGCGAGGGTTTGATAGATCCTCTTCCTCTTCGCCCAACGTACAAGGCTGATTAAGCAGTCGTTTTGCTTGATAAAGTTACTAACAAAGAGCGAAGTTTCATTTTACTATATGTGTTCGCCCAATTTTCTGGGAGTGGTTACTTCAATGGTTGTTCTAAAAGCTAAAAATGCTGTCCTGTTTGGTGCTTTGCAGTGGATATGAGCAGTTCGAGTTCTTTGCCTCAAAGTCTTTCTTGTTTCTCTCCTGTCTCTGGTCCCAGGTCTGGTACCCTGCGTGGTGGTGAGTGGTGAAAAGCTTGGCTGGGCACCTGTCATAGCTTCACTTTCTTGTTTTGAAGTGCCCCTGATGCCTAGTGTTTATCATGACTTTTGCAGACATTACCTTGCTTAAAAAGAAATTTTATTATGATATTTGGTATGCTTAACTGATAGATTTCTGTTGCAGTGGGCATACGTATGCATTCTTGTTTTCAAAGAAAAACATCTTAGGAAAATACACTCTCCTAAGAAATGCACAGGTCACAATTGATGATAACTGGGTAAAGGTGGATTTCAACCGTCATGGTAAAACTGTTTATGTTTTGCTGCAGGACTGTGTCAGCCTGAATTGGAATATTACTTATCACTGAAAATGACACACTGCCTCAGTGAACTGGCGATAGTAGAAGAACCTGACTCACTTCTCCAGCTAGAGGGGCTGTGTAGTCCGACCAAAAGGAAACTGACCTCCTGCCTACTCCCCTTTTCTCTTCCTTGCCCCCCAATGGACTGGGACAATTTGCTGCAGTGTCCTCCCTGGCTATAAAGTCCCATCATTTACTACAACAGCGGGGCAGCCAGACAGCATCTGTCCCTTCCCCACTGATTTATATATAAAATGTATATAAAGCAAACACTAGACATATAGATACATGATTCATGTTAACGAAGGATTAGTGAACAAGGGTACATGGGAAGAGCCATACAACTATGCACGGGAAAAATCAGTACTACACACTAACACATTCACACCTGAGCTAAAATATGAATTTAACACCTTGCCATCTTTTTTTTTTTGTCTTTTTTCGTTTTTATCGGTACCAGCGATAGAACTCACAACTGCCTGCTTGAAAGGCAGGTGCTTATGCCACTGAGCTAAATCCCCAGCCCCAACAGCGTGCCATCTTAAAGAATATTTCTTGTAACATATGATGGGTAATTTCTGGAATATTAAAAGACTAATGTGAGAGAAATTCTTAAATCTTAAGGGGATTGAAGAATTGGATCTATAATCAAAAGTGTGTTAAAATTCCTAACAGTGTTAAAAAAAATTCAAGGAGAGGGGCTGGGGGTTTAGCTCAGCAGCATAAGCACCTGCCTTGCAAGCAGGCGGTCGTGAGTTCGATCCCCAGTACCGATAAAAATGAAAAAGACCAAAAAAAAAAAAAAATTCAAGGAGAAAACAAAATGGAATAACATAATCAAAATTTAACACAGATAATAAGATTGGCTGTAGAATCAATGGGACAAAAATTTAGAATAAAATTCCAATTGAAAGATGTGATAGTTACTGACAATTACAAGTGTAAGATTGTTAAAGAAAAAACTAAAAGTCCTTTATTCATTTCAGTAAATCCCAAACTATCAAATGTAAGACTGGAAAATGATGCAGAATTGCCTTAGACACTAGACATATTTTAGTAAAAGAGTATATTTTCAACTTAAGAAGGCTTTTTTCATCCAGAATGTATTTTACCTTGAACCCAGGGAAGATATTTCCCTGTGGTCTTAACAAATAATGTAGCACTTGGGGGCAAAGATGCAGCCCAGAAGCCCTGCACCAGAGGCCAAGATGAAGAAGACCTCCATGGCCACCATCACCTTCCCCTTGCTGCTGTGGTACACGGGGAGGAAGGTGGCCCACACACTGCAGAACAGCAGCATGCTGAATGTCAGGAACTTGGCCTCATTGAAGGTGTCAGGCAGGTACCTGGCCAAGAAAGCCACAGTGAAGCAGACCAGGGCCAGGGAGCCCAGGTATCCCAGGACACAGTACAAGGCAGTGAGGGGGCCCTTGTTGCACATGATGATGATGTGGCCATGCTCAGAGTGTGCATTTGTGTTGATGTAGGGTGGATTTGTGCCCATCCAGACATGACAAAGAGTGAGTTGGATCAGGGAGCAGATGGGGATGATGTAATTGGTGGCCTTGATACCAGCAGCCACCTCACCCTTTGGCCTGAAGCAGTGCCCTTAAAGGCCAGCACCACAGTAATGGTTTTGGCCAAGACAGTGGAAACAGCCACAGTGAAGACAACTGCAAATGTGGTCTGCTGGAGGATGCAGCTGGCTGTGTTGGGACGGCCAATGACGAGCAAGGAGCAGAGGAAACAGAAGGTGAGGGCGAGGAGCAGGGTATAGCTGAGAGCCTGGTTGTTGGCCTTGACTATGGGAGTGTCTCGGTGCTTCACAAAGAGCCCAAGGACAGCAGCTGTGAGGAGAGGGAGACTCAGGGCGGTGCCAGCCAGAGCTTTTTCCAAAGGATCATGATAAGCTAAAAAAGTCACAGCTTTTTGCAGGCAGTGGTTTTTTTGAGTATTGGCATATTGATGGTCTAGAAACTTCACACACTGCTCCATATCTATTAAAAATTAAAACTGTCAAAAAAAATTAAAACTGTCACTTGCCTAAGTATATTCACTATCCCCCCAACAAAATCATTCCTAGAAACTTACTACACTTGAATTAAATGATTAATTTTTAAGTTTTTGTCTTCTTTCTCTCTTTTTCAGTATGTGGGATTGAATTCAGCAACTTTGCCGTGAGATATGTTCCTAACCCTTTTAAACTTTACTACTTTGAGAAAGGATCTCTCTTTTTTTTTAAATTTTATTTAAGGAGAAAAAAGAAAAAAAAACAGAAAAAGGGTACAAGTTATACAGAATTTCAGAAAAAATAAACAGTAGGAAATCACTAGTTAATAGATTACATATTGTCATCTTAGAAATAATTGTTCAAGTTACAAAATTAAAGCATATAGAGTGGACATTTATACAGTGAGACTGCAAACAGTTCTGTTCAATGACCCAATAAAACTCGGTAATATGGTTACCTATCTTATACACTTAAATATACATGCAGTTATGTCCTTTAGAGCACTTTCTTTTCCTCTCTTTTGTACAATGACAATTACACATTTGGGTTTTATTACTCCCACTATTCTTATTACTTTTTTTTTTTTTGAAGAAAGTAAAACCAAATGTGACACAATAGGACAGAGTCAGTCAAATCAAAAGAATGGACATAATACATAATTTAAAAACAAAATACAAGGTGATCAACAATGGTTACCATTAATGCTTCTTGCTATCTTAAAAAGAATTGTCTATATCATCAGTTATAATAAAATTGAACAAAAGAGTAAAGAAACAAGACCAATAAAACCAAAACATTGGACACACTGGAGGACTTTAAAAGAAGATAATAGTAAACCAGAATGGGCGTCATAATGAATCTTATTGTCTTCATAGTTGTTGCCTATACTTTCAAACTTGGTACTGTCAAGCAAAACAGAATAGAGGAAAATCAGTCAAAACAAGATGGTGAGAGCAATACAGGATTTCCAATCAAGTTAATAGGAAATCAATGTGGGTTACTATAATATATCCTGCTATTTTTTATTTATTTTTCCCTTAATTAAAAGGATAAAAATGAAAAAGTAGATAATAAAAAGGAGATTGAGATAAGAGGGCATAACAACAAAACAGCACAGGTCAAAACATAGCCATTTAAGCAAAATAGTGTTTCACCACAAGATAATCTCGACATAAAAGTAGTTACCATAGTGTCTCTTTTCTTAAAATCTTTGGGTATAAGTTTGTATACTGTAGCATCAAACATATCAAGACAATGTAAAACCATTCAAGAGACTGACAGTATTATAGGGTATTTAGAATCAACTAACAGAATATGAACAATGGTTTCTGTATAATCTCCTTGTCTATAAAAGTTTTTGTTTATATTATCACATATAATAAAGTCCAGTAAGATACAACAGGTTAAAACTGATGGAGACAGAAGAACAAAAGCTTGATGAGACTTCAAAACAAGATGATATTAAATCAGCACTACCTATTATGATGTCTTGTTTTCTCCAAAATGGCTGTTCCTACCATCCAACCTTCTCTGCCTCATTTCTGTTGAGCTCTTTTTCTGTCCTTAGTTGTCAGTTTGTCTTCTTCATTTTGTTTTCTGCTCCGTTCATTGTGCACTCTCTGCCACTATTTCTGGATTCTTCGTATTTTTCTTTTTTAGAATATCCTGCAGTATTCTCTGTAGAGTTGAATTGGTGGTTGCAAACTCCCCTAGTTCCTCTTTATCCTGGAAGCACCTTTTTTTCCCATCAATTTCTAGGGACAGTTGTGCAGGATATATCAATCTTGGCTGGAGGTTATTATCTTTCAAAGCTTGAATTACTTCCCCCCATGCTCTTTGTAATTTGATGGTTTGTGCCAAGAAATCTGCTGTAATTCTGATGGGTGTTCCCTTGTAAGCGATCTGTTTCTTGTTTCTGACGGCTTTTAATATTCTGTTCTTATATTGAATTTGGATTTCTGGAATTTTGATTATTATATGCTTGGGTGTAGCTCTGTTTGGGTTGTAGGTGGCTGGGGTCTTGTATGCCTCATACATCTGAGTATCTTTACCTTTTGCTAAATTAGGGAAATTCTCCTGGATTATTTCTGTGAATACCTTTTGTAGTTCATTTGTTTGTGTCCCTACTTCTTTTATGTTCTTAATTCTTAAGTTATAGATCCTATCATCTTCTAGACTTTGTATTATTGCTGTTTGTTTTCTTGTTATTTTTAAGAAGTTTTTCATTTCATGCTCCCACCTTACAAATCTGTCCTCCAGTTCTGATAATCTATCCTTAGTTTCTTTCAAGCTGTTATGCCAGCTTTCGAGAGAGTTTTTAGTTTCCTGGTAATCTCTTTGAACATGCTTCACATATTCTATGTTTTCTCTATTTCCTCCATCAAACAATTCTCCCCTTTTTTTCTGTTCTTCCATTCTACCATCTGTTTTTTCCTGGGCAGTGCTTAGCATTTCTCTAACCAACCTACTTACGTCTTGCTTTATTTCATTAAATACGTCATTTTTGAACTCGTCTATGAGGCTCTGGAGATATCGCTTTATGTCTATTGGTGCCGTGTCTGATATTGCATGTTTTCTGTCTTTATTCTCTTTTGTATTTCCCTTTCCTGGATCAGTGTTCTCAGGATTGGGGACTGAGGACCCTTTTTTGTTGCTCCCTCTTCCCATACTTTTGTTCCTTCCATACAAGGGTATGTAGGAGGCCCAGTTTTTTTTTTTTTTTTCTCTTTGTGTGTTACAGTTTGTTTGAATCCGCTGGCTAGGTGTTCCTGCCCACTGCGGTGTACTAGGGAGACACAGACCTGGGCAGCCTCTGCTGGGCCCATCCCTCCAGATCAACCTAGTGAAGGCTTCACTGCTAGGTGCACCACCAGGTGCAGGGACCTGGTTTGGGCTAACCTACTGGATCTTAGTCCGCGGCATCACCAGGCCAAGCGCTCCCCACCAATCCCGCTTGAGAGGGGAATATGCGACTAACGTCACTGCAGCGTCCTGTTCCAGCTAGTCTGGCCGGTCCCAGAATGTCCTCTGTTGAAGCCTCCTAGTCTTTGAAAGGGTCCCCGTTTCTCTCACTCACCGCAGGTTGATGCAGGGCTCCCTGCCAGTCCCATTCTCAACGCTGTTTGGTTCACTCTTTGGAAAGCTCTCAGAGCTTTTGCGCCTCTCTCTCCCTGCCAGGCCAATTGGGATGCAGTGGCAGCAGGAAATTCAAATTGTGGCTTCCAGTGGCGCAGGCTCAGAATGGTACTGAGTGTAGATGCTCCACCTGAGGAAAGTTACCAGCATAAATAGGTGGATAAGGAGAATGAGGTTGTTGAGGCATTGAGGCATTAATGTGTTATTGCATGGAGCCATTGTGGGTTCTCCTATGAGTTGCTATTTGAGCTGTTAGTTTTCCTGGAGAAGCTCTAGTCCTCACATTGAGCATTGCTTCCTGGCTCTGGAGGGGAAGACTGCTGCTTGGACTCCAGGATAAACTCATCACGCTGGCTTCCTGGCATGTACCCGACTGTGCTTGCCGTTGGAGGAACTCGGGGCTCCGTATCACTGAGGATGGCTGTGGTGCCTTTCAGGACAGCCCTGGTCTTTGTTGTGTGACTTCTGGGCTCCAGTGTAGAACCATCATCCCACCTGCACAGCTCCTTTATCCTGCTGGCATGGACTTTCTGGCTTCCACCCCTGACCTTTGGGTCTTTCCAGCACGGATCCATAAAGGAGACTGGCATGAGTCCTTCTTGTGGGCTCTGGACCTGCAGTTGGACTCGTGGGAGGCATTGTCATGAGCTCTGGGTTTTCATCTGGACTCATGTGGGACATTGCTGTGGGATTTAGGCCCTTGACTAAATATTCTATGTCTTTGGTGTTGCGGATAGGTTTCTGCATTTTCTTGTGTTAACTTTTATTTTATAATGTGACCATTATAAAAATATTATAAACTTCATGTCCTGATTCTAATTGTTCTCTGTACAACCTAGGACTGCAACACTGTGTCAAAATGATTTGGAGGCAACCAAATCACAGAGGCATTGGGTGTACAGTTCACTAATGTGCAGTCACCCTCAGAGGATGAACAATGGAAATTCTTATACCAATATGTAAACAGATAAGTATCTTCTGGTTATTTGAAAGGAGTAGCTTCCTGTACAAAAATTTCAAAAACCTGAAATCTCATCATGGTTGTGTGAAAAAACAAGAACCCCATGGAATGGGTCAAGTATGAAATTACTTCCATCCAGGTCATCATGCCATTTTGAGATTGTCATCCAGACTTTCCATGTCAGTAATTTTTGTACTATGTTGTAGTTCACATTATTTATACTATCAATATCACAATAAATAACCATCACATTGACTGATGATGTATCTGTGGTCAGGATATCATATTTATGCAAGCTGAGAGATATGATACAGCTGCAGTTGACACCATTTTCATAAAGGCTACACAGACTCTGTTCCTGTCCATTTCAGCTCTCATATCTGAGAGAAACTGAAGACCTTTATGGTCTTCTGTGATGAGCAGGCCCACCCAGGTCCAGTGGAAATGAAGCATCAAGGACACCATGGCAAGGGCATGGCCTTGCTCCTTCTCTGATGGTGGAGTCACCTTCACCTAGGTGGGAAGCCATGGGTAATTCCACCACCCTGCATTGCAGGACACCATGCTTTTGATGCTGGTCTACATGATGCTGGAGCTCTGTCTGGCTGTGCTCATGGCTGCTCGATGGTGGAAACAGACTTAGTCTGACTTCTGTGGGGTGAGTTTGTGAGTGGAACCACCCTGATCCTCCCTGGTCACCAGGCATGGCAGGTGGAGCCCTTGCCATGGGTCTCAAGATGGCAGGGGGTGGTGGTTTGGGTGGGGATGGAAGACAGGTGGACGAGGGAGGCAGATGATGACAGAGGCACTGACCGGCTGAGCCTCACTGAGAGAGCTCAGCCTGAGTGCAGCTGTTCCTGTCCTCCTGTCCTTCAACCAGGAGCAGTG